CGTTCATCTTTCTACTAATCACTCGTTCACGCTCATATGTCTTCCCGTTCAAAAGATAATGCCGAAAAAGTGAAATAACGTTTTTTAAAGTTATCACGCCCTGATTGTGACACATATGAGCATGGCTGGCAGTACTGGAAGCCTACATTAAGATGTCTCTCCATGATTTCCTAGTCCAAAGTGTTTAGGCAAAAGAAAAGGGGGCAGTGGACTTTCTTCTTCTAGCATGTTGCTATACTCATGTCTTGAGTGCTGTATGTTCAAAGGTGAAGGAGTGGGTGGGTGCCTTTGAAGAAGGAAAAAAGTATTCCCAAGCACGCTGCTTTGTCCGAATGGTCATGGCTACAATTGCCAGAACAACGGAGATCACAGAAGCAACTGAGATTTTCCAGCGCTTTGCTCAAGTGGTGAAGTCTCCGAAAAAGTGTGAAGATGTTGTGAATGCGCTGGATTGGCTTGCTGTCAGGTAATTTGTGTTGTTCACTTCACTAAGAAGTAAATGTTGAACTTCATTAAAGTGTGTGTAATATTAAAAGTTAAGCAACATAAGTTTTTAGATCTTAAAATGGTATTTACAATTAAAAATTAGTTGGGCATCTAGTCAAGGGATTCTTCTCAAAATATGTTATTGCAGATTTTTTTATTCCATTCTCGCGGAATCATATGTGCACTTTCCTGTAAAAGAATGGAAAACAACATTATATATGATGAGGATGAAGCAGATGAATTTCTGCGACATGAATTATCCTCTGTACCCGAGGAGAGTACTCCACTGGACGACCGATTTTAAAACAACAGATACCCTCAGTACCAAGACAGTCCATTTTCCCAAATGTTCTCAGATGCTGGCAATTCTGTCACATTATCCAAAGGGGACTGACCTACCGGACCATTATCAATTTTACATTCCAAAAGTTGTTGATTACCTTCTAAGATACCTTCAGTCACTTGTCATAACTCAAGGAGAAAATCCCCTCACAAATTCTGCTGTTGAGTTAAGATTAAAATTATTGAAAAAAGAGGATCTCAACTCCGAAAAACATGTAAAAGCTTCTAGATACATCAGGCAGTCTATTGAGAACACAGAAGCAAGGATCCTTGAATATTATTACGAAGCAAACTTCAAAAGGATCAGAAGGAGAGCTCAAGGTCCTGCTGTACATCTAATCAGAAAGAAACGACCTAGAGAAACGTGGAAGAAAATTTTGAGAGCGAAAGAACTATAAGGAGGGTTTCATTTAAAGCGTGAGGCCAAAATCTATTCTGATAAGCTCCGTCTACGCTCAGCACAAATGAGGAAGAAGATGTGAATAATATTTTTTGCAGTACAATAAAATCTGTGAAGAAGTCCTAACCAGGACAGTTTGACCCCACTCAAAAGGCCGAAAGCTCGATGGAGCAGGACAAAGGCCATGGAAGACATTTCGCTGCATGCCTCAAGCACAATTATGACCCTTCCTGATGCGGAAGGGACCTTCGGAAACAATGATGGGATTTTAAATGACAACCTTGAGAATATTCGACCGTAAGTGAAAAGAGCCCCATTATGGCATGGTATGATGCATATTCTTCAAATTCTTATTGTAAACATTCTTTTAGGACAGAAGGGTTTGACACCACACAGCAGGCCGTGGAGGATTTTAGTACCATGACCCTTACTGAGGGCATGCTTTCGGTGCAGTAACTAAAACTTTCTGTATTAGGTACAGAGCATTTTTACGTAAGTACATGGCATTTAAATATCTGTTATTGGCTGAGGGACTAGTGAAACCTATTATGCCACTGACTGAAAATGCTTTATTCTGTTTGTGTGTTTGTTTCTTTGTTTGTCTGTTCGCACGATAACTCAAGAACGAACTAAGACAGATTTTGACGACTCTTAAATGTTTTGGCCTACTGGTCACGGGATTGAGTGGAGGGTTGCACCTAAACCTAAGAACGGCTCGCACGTCGACACCAGACAGGTATATGTAAGTTCAGGTAGGCTGTAAGTGTCTCAATTTCTTTCTCTCTTTTTTTCTTAGTCGTCCAGTGGGCTCTTGCCTGCATTAAGTTTGTTTTTAGTCATTCTAATTTCATTAGTTGCAATATTTTAAAATCTTTTCGTCACTCTCTTGATGTTTTATGTTGGCTTCATTTCAGATTAACTTGACTTTTTAAAGCGGAGGGAATTAGAGTTGAGTAATAAGGTCACGGATCGACGCGTCCGTGCAACAATATCCTATCTGTTTCGCTGCCCCGAAAGACTAGTCTATCTGTTTCGCTGCCCCAAAAGACTAGCCTGTTTCGCTGCCCCGAAAGACTAGCCTATCTGTTTTTCGGCGCTCTCTTCAGGGCTGTCTTCTCTTTATTGCGAGTTTGCCAATATTAACAATAGGAAAGAAATAAATACTGCTGCGTGTACCTTGAAGATCAAGGTACAAATGGCAATTTTAATTTTATTTCTACCGTTAATATTAGCAAACCCACAATGAAAAGAAGACAGCGCTGCAGAGAGCGCCGAAAAACAGATAGGCTAGTCTTTCGGGGCAGCGAAACAGACAGGCTAGTCTTTTGGGGCAGAGAAACAAATAGGCTAGTCTTTCGGGGCAGCGAAACAGGTAGGCTAGTCTTTTGGGGCAGAGAAACAAATAGGCTAGTCTTTCGGGGCAGCGAAACAGATAGGATATTGTTGCACGGACGCGTCGGGATGAACAACTCAGTCCTGGAGCTAACTGCAGGCTTGACCCACCTACCCCAACTTATGGAGTAAACACACCGCGTCGTTCTAACCATGATGGTGACCATGCCAGTGGTGTCAAGCAGGATGTTTCTTCACCAGGTAGGTGTATAACTGAATTCTTGAATCAAGTTATCTTTATTGTTATTCATTCTAGTCCACCAGATGCATGTGTATGACGATGCTATGTGTACCATGTCACAACT